TGTATGTATTGTTTGGTTTATATTTTTACATTAAAGTTTTCATATTATATAAAACTTGGTTGACTACATTTACTAAATACTCTTACTACTATATTACTAAACATTTATTACTTAATTGTTTTAATATAATTTAAACTCTATTCAACTTATACTTATTTTGATAAGATAGTTTTATAGTGTCTGTATAGTTTCATTTATTTCTTGGACAGCACTGATTACCTGCTGTGTTCAAGACTTACACACAGGGTGTATAATGGTGAGCAAACCAGTTGTGAGCTCAACTGTCATGGAGTTTAAAGCCTGATAGGAGATATAGACTTAAACAATTATACATATAAGTACACAGTACAGATTATAATACATACCATGAAGGAAACATACAGGTTCTGAGTAAGGAGAGTGATAAATCCTTTGGATTTTACTTTTAAGAATGAAAGGATATTATTCAAGGACTGTAAGCAAGCAAGTGACATTTAAAGCGAGTGGCATTTAAAATTAATTAATTGCTATGTGAAGAATATATCATTGAAGAGTAACAACAGGGATCCTTGCTAGGAAGCAGTTGTGGGAGATTACATTAGTCAAAATGGTATTATGGACTAGGGTGACTGAGTGCAGTTGGGTGCTTGGATTTGCAGTATATTTTGAACATAGATCAATGGTGTAAGATTGTAGGTCAGTATTAAATACTTATGTAATTTTTCTTTGTAAGGCATTGTAGGATGCCTGCCATGTTCAGTGTATTTCTATTATAACTATCATTTAAAAGGAAATAAACCAGATTTCCTTAGCATCATTTACCAAAAATGGCATCACGGTGTCAAAGGCTATGGACATTTGAGTGGTTCTTGATAATACTGGAATTGCTTTCCAAAAGGTTTGTGCTATTTATTGTATCACTAGAAATATTTGAGTTCTGTCTATGATTAACTTCTGCCAGTATATTTCATTTAGAAAAGTTTTTTTTTACTACTTAAGTAAAACAATAGTACTTTAGCTGAGAGTGAAGGAAAATAAATGGAATAACTTTCTTGCATTTAGTATTTTATTACATAGAATTAAAGTGGCTTTATTTTATCCTAGTTTCTAAAGGATGTTAATAACCCATGTACCTGATCTAAAAGTTTATTTCTATTTGAAAGGCTGGAAATAATACTACTTAAGAATGTTAAGTCTTCATCCTTTTCTTGCTCTATTCTTAACTAGTTTCTTTTTGGAATCTGTTTTTAAAAACTGGTTGGGCTTTGATAACCTGTACTTTCTCAGAGTGAAGGTTTATATTTTTTAAGTATAAAAGTACTAAATAATATGTGTTGAGAATACTTCAGATTTGTGAAAAGGTATTTTATTAGCATAGAGCAGGATTGGCAAACTTTTCTATAAGGGGCCATATGGGTCTTTGTCACGTAATCTTTGTGTTGTTGTTGTTTTTTTTCCAACAACCATTTAAAAACTTAAAAACTATCCTTAGTTCATGAGCCAGACCAAATCAGGTGGCAGGATTTAGCCTGTGAGCAATAGTTTGCTGGACCCTTATTTAGACTCTAATCTTGGGAAAGACCTTACACTGATAACTGAATTTTTTCTACCTCCATATACTTCTAGCTAATGGCTAACCTGAAGTTGGAACAGAATCTTGAGTATTTATATACTGTTTTTGTTGTGCTTACTTTCTGCTTTGTTATCAAACCTTTCAGTTCTTTTTTTAGATCATGTTTTTCATTTAACATTTTTGTTCTTAAGTTTTTATATAGTTCAGTGACATTGTACTTCTAAGGATGACTCTAGTTAAAATTAACTTTGGAAATACTGAAATTTTAACCTAAATCTATTATTTCTAATCAGATTCTACTAATAATTTATAAGTAGGTTGTAGATTACTTTTTTAAATAACTGAATGTGGCACAGAACTTAGCTGTTAATACTTTCAGGATTTAGACGGGTAAAGATAATAGGAATGAGAGAGATTGGTGAATAGAAGGACTGCCTTCCCAGTTCCTCATTTCCTTTGGTGGAGTATTCATCATGGAAATGTGTTATGAAATACATGCAGAAACTACAGATATTCCACATTAAATACTTTTGAAACATAAAGTGTGTGAACATTTTGTAAATGGGAATTTATTAAGCTACATCTTAGAAGCATTATATATGTGGGCAGATGGTGAATAATCTCCCAGCCACACCTTAGGTATAGACTTGTGTGGCCCTAGAAACTATAGTCTTTAATTTTATTGTTGGAAAAACATTTTATATTTAAAGACTAAGGAAACTGTCAACCATAAGGTTAACTTAGGTTGGTATTGATAAGTGAAGAACGAGAGTTAACAGCAACAGGTTAAGGAAAAGTCTTTGGTCTGTAGCCACACCTGGGTAATAAAGGTTCGACTCCAAGACTACACTTGGCTCTCAATTCCTGTTCTTTTATTTTACCTCCACAACACTGGTTTTCAATTTACAATATGCAAGAGTTCTTTCAAGTAGCTAATTAAGGGAGTGGGCGAAAATAATAAAATGTCAACCAAATGTTCAAATTTTTAATAAAGAGCTTGCTTGGAAAATAAATATCTATCCTTTTTTTCCTGACTGGTGAGATAATTAACTTTTATTATAGATAGTATGGAAAATACAGTTTACTTTAAAAGATAAGTATGAGATCATAGTCTAATAAGGTAGTCTTTCACACTTTTAAAAATTAAAAGCCAAAAAAGAAATACATTTAACATAGCCTCTAGTACCAAAAAAAAAAGCAAGAAATAAATTTCTTAAATTATCTCCACCAAAGACAGCCTTTATTAACATTTTTATGTAATACCATCAGTTTTAAAATATATGTACAGATATATTTATACTGATATGAACATATATTTTATTGGGGTCATGCTACATATTAGGGGTGGGGAAAAAGTAGGTTTATAATGGTTCATATGGGAAATAGTCTGATAATAAATAAATAATGCAAGAATAAACCATTTCACATACTAATAATTGTAAACCTCCTTTTTGCCCATCCCTAGAGATAAATCTATCTTTGTATTCTACTGTAAACACTTAAATGTTTTATTAAAAACATGATTTTTAATGACCATCTTCTTTTCTAATAATGAAATGAATGATCTTTAATGTAATTCATCAAATAAAGACACTTTGGTATTAAGCCCACATGTGGAACAATAAGAAACAGTGCCCTTGTTTTATACTTCATACCCTTATTCAGCCCTCATTCCATGACTTCACATTGCACCCTTTTTTCTTATTTTTTTTGAGGCTATTTTGGCACAGAGGGTGTGAAATCTTTTAGACATGCAAATCAAAAGTTTTCATTTTAAGATTCTGTTAATGTTATCTGACCCCTTAACTTTACTCAATCTTAGAGTTGCATCATCTCTTTAAGATATCCACCTATTTTCCCCCACAGAATTTACAGATAAATAATCACATTCTTTGTAATTATCATAGTATCCATCTGGCAGTGAGATATTGTTTCCAGGATTTCAGAAATGGATAGGGCATTAAAATCCTCACTATTGACTATTCTCTTTGCGTTCCTTTGAATATAAGTAAAATGGATGCATGACATTTATTTGTAAGCTGATTTATTATTTTTTTTGCCATCTAAATCATCCTAAATAACAGAGTTCTTAGAGCTATTCCATTTTTGTAATAACTATTTTTATAGGAATTTGGGTCTTTTTATTACTAAAATGTGCGTTTACATTGTTGAATCTCTGTGTAACAGCTTTTTAAAAATTGTGTTACAATATATATACAATTTACTGTTGCAGCCTTTTTTTCGGTTAATCCTCACCTGATGCGATACACACACACACACGCGCGTATATACATACATATAATACGTATATGTATATACGTATATGTGTGTGTGTGTGTGTGTATAATTTTTTCCCCATTGATTTTAGATGGAGTGGAAGAAAGGGAGGAAGGAAGAGAGAGAGAGAGAGAGAGAGAGAGAGAGACATCGATGTAAGAGCGACACATCTACTGGTTGCTTCACACATGACCCCAACCAGGGCTGGGACTGAACCGCAACCGTGGCATGTGCCCTTGACCAGAATCAAACCAGCAACTCTCTGGTCCGCGGGCCAGCGCTCTAACTGCTGAGCCAAACCGGCCAGGGCTATTGCAGCCATTTTTAAGTGTACAATCTCATTGACATTAAGTAAATTTACAGTGTTGGACAACCATTTTAGCTCTATTTCCATAACTTTTCCATTAACCCAAACTAAAACTTTACATCCATTGAACAATAACTCTCCAACCCCTTCCGGCCCCAGCCCCAGGTAATCTCTATTCTACTTTTTGTCTGTTACTTTATTTATTTTAGGTACCTCGTATAAGTGGAATAATAGATACTTGTTTTTTTGTGTGTGTGTCTGGCTTATTTACACTTAGCATAATGTTTTCAAGGTTCATCCATTTTATTCCTTTCTATGACTGAATATTTCACTGTGTTTATATGCCACATTTTATTTATCTATTCATCTGTTAATAAACACTCCAGTTGTTTCTACATCTTGGCTATTGTTAATAATGCTGCTGTGAATGTTGGCATACAGATATCTGTTTGAGTCTTCTTTTGGTTATATACTAAGGATTGCAATTGCTGGCTCATGTGGTAATCCTGCGAAATTGTTTTTCACAATGGCTGTACCATTTTTCATTCCTACCAGCAGTGGACAGAGATCTAGTTTGTCCACATCCTTACTAACATTTGGTATTTTTCCCCCTTTTAAAAAAAATAATAGCCATCCTAATGGCTGTGAAGTGGTAGCTCATTAGAGTTTTGATTTGCATTTCCCTAATGATGTTGAACATATTTTCATGTGCATATTGGCCATTAGTCTGTCTTCTTTGGACAGATATCTATTCAAGTCATTTGCCGAGTTATGAATTGGGTTCTTTTTCTTGAGTTGTGTCTAATACCTTTTTAAAAGTAAAAGGTACACCTAATAATCTAGACTGTGTTTCTCCCTTCTCAGGATTCCTACAGGAAACAAGTAGTAATTGATGGAGAAACCTGTCTCTTGGATATTCTCGACACAGCAGGTCAAGAGGAGTACAGTGCAATGAGGGACCAGTACATGAGGACTGGGGAGGGCTTTCTTTGTGTATTTGCCATAAATAATACTAAATCATTTGAAGATATTCACCATTATAGGTGGGTTTAAATTGAGTATAATAAATTGACATCGAGGAATAATTGTATCTCCTATTTATTGAGTCTTTGCTAATCACCATGCATAAATGATCTAATTTAAATTTTAGAATAATTATGAGGTAGGTAATATCCCTATTTTGAAAATGAAGTTCTTGAGGATTAGAGAAGTTGAATACCGTAACTTGTTCTAGCTTGCATAGATGGTGGTAACTTGTTCTAGCTTGCATAGGACTGAAACCTAGGCCTGACTAAAACCTGTGCTTTTAATTACTCTACACCAGGGAAACAAGGCTTTAGCTAGAGCCATCATAAAAATGAAAACCATCAAAATACGAAAATGTAGTTGAGGCTGTGCCACTCAAATAGCCTTAAAAATAATCAGGTATACTTAGTATAGAGTTTCTTGGAATCGGTTATTAGATATTTAAGAAAGAAACAAAAACCCGCAACTCTGAAGTTGTAAAAGACTGAAGTATTAGAACAATTAGTTTTTTGTTTTTTCTTCATTAATTTTAGAGAGGAAGGGAGAGGGAGAAATAGAAATATCAATGAGAGACAACATCGATTGACCGCCTCCTGCATGCCCCCCACTGGGGATTGGGCCCACAACCTGGGCATGTGCCCTGACTGGGAATCCAACTGGAGACTCTTGGTGCATGGGTCGACGCTCAACCACTGAGCCACACCAGCTGGGCAGAACAATTATTTTTTAAAGAAACTGACAAATCAGCCTGAAACGAACTACTTTTATTAAAATAATCACTATTGTATTAAGTATAGCTTATATTGTTTCTTTGAGGGTTTACAGTTTTTTTAAAGTTGCCTATTAAGCAAATATCCCATTCATCTATGTTTTAACAGCCTAGTTAAGAGGTTTAATATTTTAGTTAACATTCCTTATAGCATGTTTTCTCTATAGTCATAGAGAAAAAGAAATTGGGATGGGTGGTAATATTTTTGTAAAATAACTGGCTTTTTATTTCATGCTGTATCTTTGAAATTCACTTAGTATTTTGAAGAAATTTAATTTTACTCCAAATTTAGAGTTTATGCACATCTTACTGAAAATGAAGGATGTTTACAGAATAAACAGTGTAGTAATATTAGTGTTGTCCACATAGAAATAAAAATCCACTTGGCGCTCTTTTGTGAGAAAGGAATGTGAAAATTATGTTAATATTATAATTCATGTTTTTATAAAAATATTTTTAATTCTATACATACACATTTAACATGTGTTTCTAAGATTATAATTTTAAAAATCAGCCCTGGCCGGTTTGGCTCAGCAGTTAGAGCGTTGGCCTGCGGTCTGAAGAGACCCAGGTTCGGTTCCCGCTAAGGGCGCGTACCTCAGTTGCAGTTTGTCCCTGGCCCTGGTTGGTTGTGCGGGTGGCAGCCACTCGATGTGTTCCTTTCACGTCGATGTTTCTCTCTCTCTCTGTTCCTCTCTCTCCCTCCCACTCTACCGGAACAAAAAATCGAAAAATGTCCTCGGGTGAGGGAAAAAAAAAATCAGCCAGAATACTTCTTTCATCTAGAATTTTCAATATTTTCTGTTTTATCATGTGACCTACCTGCATATGACCTAGACTGTAGTTTTAGGTATTTGACCTTTTAAGAGACATAGAAGTTCTCTGTTCAAGATGGAGAAAAACAATAATGAAAAGGAGAAACAAGGAAAATTTGGTGTGGTGGAAACCAAAAATTAAATTAAGTCTTCTTTCAGCCATATTTTATAAGAAATGGTATATACAGTTTTTGAAAGAGTTTTGTATTTCTAATCTCTCATGTAACTTTTTTTTTTCCTCCCTAGAGAACAAATAAAAAGAGTTAAAGACTCTGAAGATGTACCTATGGTCCTAGTAGGAAATAAATGTGATTTGCCTTCTAGAACAGTAGACACAAAACAGGCTCAGGACTTAGCAAGAAGTTACGGAATTCCTTTTATTGAAACATCAGCAAAGACAAGACAAGTAAGTAAAATTGTAATAAATACAAATCTATTCTCTGTAAACTGTATCAAGTGATTTTAATTATTCATAGTTTACTAATATAACTCCTAATGTCATTTTCAGGGCAGGAGGGCAAAACATTAATAAATGTACATACCTGAGAGCATAACTATTATATTGTTCAATGTAATTTATCAGTTTTTCCTTCTGTTATACTAAAATAGGAAGTGAAGCTAGTTATTTAGTAAACGTTCTCTTAAAGATGTGAGAGGGTAGTGCTTCTTAATCCAATCCTCATGGTATTACTTTTGACTTTGGTTTCCTTAAAACTGGTTTCTTTCCAGTTGAACATTCTCTTCAACTCAGCACATCTTACAATTAGGATTTAAGAAATGTGGGATTTTTTTCCGGTTATATTTATAAAGTGAAAGAACAGGGGAACAAATATTGAGTTTCCTATTTAAGAAGTGCTTTTAAGAGTCTGTGTCTTGTGTTTCTAGATTAAATTTTGTTGTATTTGAAGTATTTTACTCTGGTAGAATTTTTTAAAGGATATATTTATTTTTGGAGAAAGTTTTCATTAAAGCAAGAGAATATTTAGAAAATAAATAGAAATTCTCAGTTATTCTATTCATTTACTGGGTTGTTCTGACAAAAATTAATGCCAGGTTGATCTTGACTTTTATTTTTTAAATTACCAATATTTTAAAAGTAACTTTTCTCTAGGTAAAATAAAATAATTTTAGTTTATTATTTAGTTTATTATTACTTGAATGAAATAAAGAGTTTAAATGTGAAAAAAATTTCTAGAAAGGAATACATAAAGATACAATTTTCATATACTAAGAAATTGGTCACTTTATGTGCCATACAAGATGAACATTTGTTTTGGGCTTTGTCTGGTTATATGTACCTGTGAGTCCAGAAAACTGTAATGCTGGGGGTTAAGAAAATAGATGAACTGATACATAGTTAAAGTTATAAAAACAGTTATTCATTCTAGAACTTTCAATGAATTTTGTGGAGAGATAAAAATTTAAAAGTAAACCATTATTCAGCTAGTATACATGTCTATTTCCCCAGTAGAAAAGTACTGCTTTCTAAGTTGTACAAATTTGGTACACAGTGAAAAAACAGTGGATTCTATTTTAAAAATGTCATTGTTTTAGGATTAAAAGCTGAATTTCTATAGTTTGACCATAGTACCAGTATTTCATTCTAAAACCTGATTGATAGGTTAAAGAAAAGATTGATATACAGCACTTCACTTCACTTTAGAAGAATTAAGATTTTATTCACATCCATTTCCAGGTTCATAGGCTGGGAAGAAGTTTGGTTTTTGTCTTCTTTTTATTGGTTTTCTCTGACCAGATTCCTTGTTTTCAGTTAGAGAGGAGGTACTAAAAAAAAATGATTATAATATTTATAACTTCCCCCCCAGCATTTTATTACGAACAACTTACAAACATAAAATTAAAGGAATTTTATTGAAAATATTTGCAAACCTACTACCATTAACATTTTGTTAAACTTGCACTAACTTTTCAAAGATACTTTTTAAACTAGTTAACTTTTTAGTTTAAATTTTATAAAGGAAAAACCTAAGATATTTTGCCTATTGCAGATAGAGCTGTGCTTTTCTTGCTTGAATATGCGTATGAATGAACTGGGCTTCTTATTCAAATCTAGATTTTAATTCTATGGGTCTAGATTGGGACCTGTGATTCTGAGTGTCTCATAGGCTCTCAGGTAATGCTGATTTTTGGTACATGGACCATAGTTGGAGTAGAAAGGCAGTAGAGCACAATAAAAGGGCATCTGGTTATCCCCACAATGTTGCCCAGCACTTCTCATTTGATGAACCTAAAATAGCTGTCTTTTTTCTTTGTTCTATAGTTACTATTTCAGAAGTATTAGTTGATTCTCAGTATTTGATATTAATGCTTTAATATACCACAGCATTCATAATTAATTAGAAAACTACCTGGTTTCCTTTTAAAATAGATTTTTAGGTTTATACTGTTTTTGGGAGGGTGGGGGGGAGATGTATGTAGTATGTGTGATATAGAAGTGGGTTAATTTAAATTTGCTTTGTAGACATTTATGTGGATCCTCTAATTAAAATAAAGAGTGATATAAAGTAATACTTTATTTCTTAACCTTCTAGTGCTCACCTTTTCTTATATTTATGTCTTGTTTTATTGATATCTGTATGTAATTTATTTTACTAAACTGTAAATTAGTTTTTTATCTTTGATTTTTTTATTACATAGACTTGTTGATTTGCCTTTCAGAAGTTTATTCATCTTCTGTTGAAATTAACTTGATATTTGCATGCTTTTAAGACTTTATAAAGATCTATTCAAGTACTAATTGTGGAGATTATAAAATGAAACGTAAATTTTATACATTTTACATCTCGTTTTTTGTGAAAATTTGAAGCCCTATTTTCTGCAGAGTATTTTGTTACTTATTGCTATTATTTATTTGTTATTTGAACAAAATAAATATACATATCCTTGTTGTATTTTATCAATAGTTGCTTATTTCATGCTCACAGTTTTGGCTTTGAGCATGAACCTAAAACACAAACACCAAAAAGAAGTATATTCAAGCTAGTAGGAAAAGGACATTCATTTAGAGCTTCTCATAGATGGAAGTCAGGGGCTGGCACACTTTCTCTGTTAAGGTCCAGATACTAAATACTTTAAGCATTGTGAGCCACAAGCAGTAGCTGTTGCATTTTTTTTTTCTTATAACCCTTTAAACATGCAAAAATCATTCTTATCTTTTGGGAAGTACAAAAAATAGATTGTGGCTACATTTGGCCTCTGATTGTAGTTTACTGATTCTGGGAAACTGTTTTGTTTGATTAGACTCTAAATGTCAGGGCAGACATTTCAACTTAAAATTACTGTTAGCCTGTAAAATTTAAAGTAAAACGTATGCATTCTGTGAAAGGGAAGTAAAAAGGGGGAAAAAAGGGAAATTTTTTCTAGTCCTTTTTTGAGATAAGGGTTGCAGAATATACATTTTATTAACTTTAAAAAGCCCATTATATGGCTAAGATATTATGAAGTATATTTCTTTACAATCATTTTAGTCCACCTCTGAAAGGCTAAAGTGATTTTTATTTTCTGCTAGTATGCTGTCTGTGGTCCCTATGTTCTTACTGTACAAAGACTACTACCTAGTTTACATTTATCTGAGCAGTTAGGAATTACCAGATTGTCCTGGCTGCTTTGGGCAGTGCATGGCTGTATTATAGGCAAAGGCTATTGAAGCCAAAACATTGACACTGTGGTAATCAGCTGTATGTTTTCCAGCATGCTAAAATCAAAAGTGAGGAGGGGATGTTTAGTAAAGTGGATGACAGAAGCAGAATTCTCACCATCTTTGCTACTACTGATTCAGCCTTTTTTGCTTTCTAGAGGTCTCAATTTGAGCAGAATGTAAAAATTAGTTTTATGAACTTAAAAATGCTGAGTGATTAACTTCCTAGTTTTTGTTATTAATTTCTGGATACCTAAAATTAGTTGTTACAAGACCTCCATTAAAGAAAGCTTTTGATCAAATAGTTTTAAAAAAATAAACCAAACAAAAAAACCTTATGTGCCATATTTTTGTTTCATGGTAGTTTGTGTACATGATGAGATTAGCATTTTGAACTTTAGCTTCTTATGAGTTAAAAATAGAACAGTTACTGAGCACCTGCTGTGCATACTTACCCTCTCAATTAGTGGTATTGCTGCATTTCAGTAATACCTAAGATGGGCTACAGTTTGCAAGATTTCTTGAGAAATTTGGCAATGCAAAGTTGCTTTTTAGAGTACACCTTGTTCCTCCCATTCCTCTCCCTCAAGAAGGTTAGTATTCTTGCATCTGTCTGTCTATAATTAGGGTGTTTGAAGTGTTATTTCCTTGAAAGAGTTTGCGATAATTTTTGCAGGTAATAAGCCATTCAGTAGGAACTACTTGCTTAAAATGAAATCTTTTAGTAAAAGCATTATAGACAGTAGGATATGGAATGATGTAACAGTTCTTTCTCTAGTATGGAGTGCTCCATTACCTTAGTCTCACAAGTATGTTTTCAGATAATAGCTGATCTGAAAATATTGCCAAGTATCTTGATTTTTAAAAATTTACGTGTATAAACTTGTGCATTTCTGTTCATACATGTTTTCACTTGTTCTTAACGTTTAATAAGTGACATTTGAAAATGAGTATATATGGCAATAAGCCATTTTCTCAGGAATACATTATTAAGTGCCAGTTAATGCTTAGCAACTAGCCACAGTTGGGTAGTGCATGTTTCAGCTATACTTTATCTTTCAAAATTACCTACAAATTTTGGAATATGAAACCAGTGTTCTGTGCCAGTGCCAGTGGTTTAAGGGTGCACACAAGGATAAAAAATAATCTTTTGATGTCAGTATGACCTTAAAGCATATTACCAAGAAATAAGTATTTAAATCTGAGAAAATATGGTAAATAATTGATTCCTTAAAATCTAATTTAAATTTCCTATTAGTAAATATTAATGAAAAAGTCTCTTTAGAATACTTATTTCTCAATGTTAATTGTTTTAGCCACTAAGGTCCTAATATTGAATATTTCGGTGGTGGGTAGTAATCTTTTCTTTTTAATCATTGGCTTCCAATTCTCTCTCTGCATTGCTGGAAACAAAATCATATATTCTGGTATTGGTGATGGGATGTGCACAATTATAAAATACACTCTTTCAAACTGATTTTACAAATAAGTTACAATCAAACTTTGCTTCTGCTAAATTAGTAGAGGACCAAAACACTGTTTTTCTCCTCTTGTAGAATGTTTTAGTACTTCTTTATTGACCTTGTAACTTTTTAAAAACAGGAGTAAATCTGTATATTCTTAACAAATATGAGCTTTTACCTGGTTTGTTTTATTTATATATGTAAATATATATATTTAAATTTCTGGCATTAATTTTCAAATTGCAAGAGAATCATGTATGAAAATATCTTAAATGCTAGCTCATG